GACAAGTCCATCTCCCATCAGTATTAATTATTTTGTTTCCAGTCTCTTCCCCACTGAGATTTTGATTTCATGGTCATGAATGTTGATGTGAGAAGGAATATGGTAAGTATAGTGCCAGGGCTATACCGGTGCTGTGGAAATGCGACAGCACAGAAGTCATCATCTGTGATGTTTTTGTCCCCTTCCCATAGCAGTTGTTAGACAAACAGAAGAACTCTGTCAGAGCCCATAATTCACATGAAAATGGTGTCTTTGGAGACAATCTAAACATGCATACTTTTTCAACCTTGTAAATGCAACATAAAGAATACTTACGCATGTATTCTAATGTCTGTTACTTTCCATTTCATATCATGTTCTTACTCTGTGTCTGTTACGTGATCAGTGCACAGCATACTCATAGAGCATACTCTGTGTCTTAAGGGAAAAACTTCATACTCATTACCAAGTATGTAAACTGATATTCAGTGAGACATGTTTAAACAAGCACATTTTGTAACTTCTTTGTCACACTTGCCTGTTTTTTGGGTTTGTTTTTTTTTTTTTTTTTTTTTAATATAAGTAGTCATATTGAGCAAATATCATTCTTTGTCTTAAGTGAGCCCAAAAGAGATTTTGCCCTTCTAGGAAGGGGAAATGGTGTGTTGGCTAATAATGAGGAAGCTGCATTTTTTATAGATCAGATCCTTAGCTAGTGTAAATAGGTGTAGCTTGCATTATGTACATACTGGAAAAATAGGAGCTCTAAAACAGTGCCTTATGAATTGCATAAAATCATCAATAGTAAGTGCCTCTTAGTCTTGTAAACAACATACTGAAAAATGGCAGCTGCCTAGAGATGAATGACCATGAGGCTTTCGAAGGAGCTGCACCATTTAAGTGTGTTTTACTTGCTGTGCAAAGCTCTCGTTCAAAGCTCTTATACTGGCTGTAATGGCAGCAGAATGGACTAGGACCATACTGCATGTTTATAAGTCTGTGTGGGGAGCAGAGCATAAATGACAGGTTAAAGAGAAGAAAATGGTGAAGAACAAGGCTGAAGAGTCGGGGGTAAGAGGTGGAAGGAAATTACACGGGTTCCCCCAGCAGACCCAGGTTAATTTAATTTGATGAAATAGACCTAAGGAGTAAGTTTCTTGTTTTGCAGCAAACAGTTCCAGTCAGGCTGGAAGCCTTGCTAGTGCAAACCCTTTCTCCTGACTAGCTGTTGAACAACAATGATGTTTATCTTTTATTGTGATCTGCAAAGGAGGGGAAAATGTTCCCCAACTCTACATAGAAAATAACAGGTCTCTAATTTACTAACTCATATTACCTCCTGTAAAAGAGAGAGGTACAGGCTCCAGAGGATACCAGTTGGTCAGCCAGTCCTAAAATTTATTATTTCTAATCTACCTTTGTTCCTCATCCTGATTTGCCAGAGATTTCTTGAGCACCTTGGAAGATGTAAAGGCAATAAAGACTCCTTGCTCTGGTTATTCTTTTAGCTAGCGGTTTCAGGCCATTCATTTTCTGTTGCTTTCTCTTTTAGACAGTTCTGATCTTTTGACAGTTTTCCTGCAGTTTCCTGAAGACTGGCTTGTCTGAAATGGTTTATTAGTCTACCTCAGATTTACAAGCCAGTTCGTAATAGTCTGCATTAGATGCTTCAATACCCTAGAAGAAAGCAAGCTCTCTCTAGTTGCAAAATCTGGGCATTTAAATACAGAAGTGAGTGACCTGTGGCTGAGTTTCTTGTGCTATTCTGAATCTCAATCTCCAGCTGCTGTGAAAACAAAAGTCATGAGTCACCACAGACCCTCTCACATATGTGCCAACCCATCATGGGTGTCCAAGATACCCTGGGGTATATAGGCACTCACATTTAAATATCTGAATTGCTCCCAGGAGGTCAGAATGTTTTACAGTAGCCAAAAGTGTAAAGATGCAAGAAGAATCACTGTAATGAAATGCCTATATTTTGAGATTGGCAACAATATTTTTTTCCTCACTGTAGTGGCACCTGTGCTTTCACCAGCAAAACCAGATTCATATTCTTACCTGCCTATATTCTAGCCCTGAAAAAAAAGCAATTTCTTCCTACCTGTGTTGTAAGAGAATCAAATAGATCATTTTGTATATGTAGCATAACAAAGACAATTGCTGACTCCTTATCATTAAAAGGCAGGGGAGTATGTTGCTAACTTGGTACTGTTAGCAAGTTGCACTTGGAGCTGAATATGTTGCTTAGAAAATATACTTGTGTATAGTTTCTTGCTCATTAGTAGTAGCATAAACTTCACATAGAAGTCTTGAGCAGGCAAGTGCTCGGCATCTTAAACAACTTTACAAAAACTTAAGATTAAGAACTTGAGAGCATTTTAACCTGCAAGTGGCAATAATTTTTATTTATTTCAGTCTTCTGAGTAATATTTTATCAGGGAAACAAAGCTTTGTTAGTGGTTAACAATTCACTGTATTTTAATTTTTTTTCCTGAGAGCTGATGTCTCAGAGTAGAAAATGACAATGAAAGAGAACAGAAATTTTAAAAGATTACAGTAGAAAGTCTTATTCCAGTAGTGTGAGCTTCTCTGTGCAGGTCAGTTGTGTTGGGAAATAGTAATGTTTGAAGAAATTACATCTGTTAGAAAATGTCCCATTTTGGTAGGTGATATTTTATGTTCTTGCAGTGAATGGTACCTCCAGTTGTGACTTTGGGGCTGGACAGTTCTTACCATCTCACATTTCTATAATGTTAAGCAGTCAGTGTGATGCTGGAATACAGTTCTACCATGATGCAATTTCACATCAAACTGTCAGTGTTGCCAAAAGACACATAATATTGAAAACAACGTAATGTTATGTGTGTCAAAACACAGAGATCACGGTTTGAATTATCTTCTCAATAGAAAACAGGATCTGATCTTTACTGTTAGGGCCTAATTCTGCACCCATTCAGTGACAAAAGCTGAGTGCAAGGTGATTTTGGTCTGCGTGGTGGAGTTTGTGTGAGTTACTTATTTGAATTATTGAATAATCTGAATAACCTGCCATCGGTAAGTGCCTCTGAAACTTTGTAGGCCAGACTGGAATGCTGTGAAGGAGGCAAGTGGTATTGATACAGAAATAAACAGGGTGATGATCTCATCAGAAGGTGAATAATTTGAGCAATATTAAACTATAGTTTAATTGTTTTGTTTCTGACTAAGGAAATAAAAATTTTGGCTTCTCTCATTTTTAAATGTAATTTTGCAGTTTGCAGCAAGTGTAGCTGTACCATGTAGTGTTGGTGACATGCACAGTCTTCCTTTCTAGTGAGACAGTGACTGTAATTGAACAGCCCACGTCACCTTGGCCTACTGTAATCAAACCCCATGGGCCATCGCCCAGCGTCTGGCCAGTCTGCGATCGGCGATGGACGTCAGGGGGCAGGGAGCTCCTGTGCTCACAGGAAACAGTAGTAACCTGAAATAGCCACCTCTGTATTGTTGCATGAACATCAAATACTCCCCTGCAATAACATAGACGTACTGTTTGTTGACTTTATTACGCTACCGTAGCTCACTAGTAGTGATGTGCTTCATTTAACCCATTTTGTAGTATTTTAAACTTTGCATTGAACACGCATTCATTCTGCACTTGGGGCCTGATCCAAAGCGTATAACGGTGTTTGAAAGATCCAGTGTACTTCAAGGGCTTTTGGCTCAGGCCCTCTATTTCTCTGATTGCTGTTGCTTTTTTTTTTTTTTTTTGTTCATGGGCTGTAAGGTTTTTTTTTTTCTTCCTTTTATAAAATGGCTGCATTTAAAATAAAAGCAGGGAGTTGCACAAAGACAACCTGCATCTCTATGAATATATTAAGTGCAGCTGTTGTCACATGTATAGTATTGTAATCAAGATACAGTGGCATTATTCTATATTCATAATGGAGATGGTAGAATTTCTTATATAGAAAGTATTACAAATCTAGATGCTAATTGTCATTTTGTGGAAAGATCCACAGCCACAGAGAAAATAGGTGACATTTGTGAGTAAGCTGATACTCTTCTAGAACTGGAATGCAAATGTGTGCTTAGTGGCTTGCCACTCTTTAGTCATATGTTATCCTGTCCCCAGCTACTCCTGAAAACTTTATCAGAGAGTACAGAATTTATTTATAGCCATTATAAGCACTTTCAAATAGTAGCAGGATAGATAGTACTAAAAATTTTTAAAGTAGGATTCATTTAAACAGAACTGTAAAGCACACTTGACATCTTGGAACCTACAGAGTATCCTGTGTATTTTAAAAGCTTTGTCAAAAAAAAAAAAAAAAAAGCCTCCCACGGTTGCTGCAGAGGCTTTAAAGGCTTAATTTTGTTTTCAAATTGCCTATTTGCAGTATTGTCCTCCCACACTGCCTCGTCACGTTTTGTATGTTAAAATACACAATTTAAAATGAGAAATGTGCTTTGAAAGCAGCTGTGGGCAAAGGAAAAACAATGGACACAGAAGCTGACAGAGCCTTTGGTGCCTGTGATCTTGAAGAGCCCTGACAGTTGACCGGGCAGTCTGGTGGCTTTGCACGCAAAGGCTTTCTGGCCAAGAGAAGGATACAGGCAGTTTGCATTTCAGAAATGGATTGGCCTAGAAATCTGCACAGTATATAGTCCCCATGTAAGGAAGCATTAGGTATCAGGGGCTGGAACAGGGCTGGTATGTTCTCAGTATTACAGGCTGTGCTCGGAGGTATCAGTAGACTAGGAGGAAATCAGGTTTTTCACCTTGCTGTGGACAGTGGTTTAAATATGTCACGTTACGTACTATATATGCGTATGCACCTCACGGCAAACTGTCCTCTAGTAATGGCACTAGCTACCGAACCCAAACTGCTTCAAAGCATGCCTTTACTGAATTCATTTGAACTAAAATTATCCAGCAAAGTAGAGCACTGTTTCAGTACATCATAAGGTTGATAATTTGGACTAATACTGGATACACCTTTTATCATTAAGGAAAAAATATTATTTTGTCTGTTCAGATGCAGTTGTGTGGAACCAGAACATCCTAGCAATAAAACCTTACGATACTGGCAGGACTACAATATATCGGCGTCAGACGTGCCGTGGGGGAACCTAACTGTGTCAGTAAGTAAAGTATCAGAACTTCATAAGTAAAAGCACAGAAGTATAAATAATTTTCTCTCCTACTTCATAAAATATGTTGAAAAAAACTCCATGTTTTTTCTCTCATATTTGTTCAAATAAAGCATAAAATGGTTGAACGAAGATTAATATACACTTTGTAGCGTTATCTCCTTTTATAAGCATTTTGCAGCCTCTGATAGTACACATTAAAGCAAGTATGTGCATTTTGTGCCCTGCTTTGGAAACTTCTTGACACACCAACACAAGAGTTTGACTGAGATGAAGTCTAAAAATGTAAAATGACAATGGATTTGTTGCAAGAATTTTGCAAGATGAGAAAACCAAAGTTCCCTTGTGTAGAGGGAGTCAGCATTTCTTTTTCCCCCCTAAAACATTCTTACAGCTCTTGGGGCTATAAAGGAGAGAAAGAGGAGAAATTTTGTAGTTTTGTGTTCAGTGACAAAACTTCTGTCTTACATAGGCCTTCAGTGTTAAGTATGTCTTGGTTGTGTAATTTTTTTTTTGAGGTGGGGAACACGCCACACACAGTATGTAACTTGTTCATAAATGGTACTCTTTTCTAGGTTTAAGGTGCTTATTAGTGCAGGTTTACCTTCTTTGAAACAACATTTGCAACTTGATTAAAACGTTATATTAAGATAAGGTTATTACACAGTCAAAGAGAATTAATTGCAAACGACACCAAACTCAATGGTACTTTCAAAAATAGAACTGGATTAACCTCATCATAGGCATAAACAATGAAATGCTGAAAAGCCAATCAAGTGGACAGTCTCCAGCAGATAATGTTTTTTCTTCTAAAGGCAAGAATGCAGAACTCCTGTCCTGTCATGAGTTAAGCAAGAGCTGCCTTCCATGGCTGCTCTGTCTTGATAACAAGGACTGCTCCTCAACTCTGTTGGTGTGACAACAGCAGAGAGAAAGTTGAGAACTTCTGGCCTGAGGGATTCCAGCAATCCGGAATGAATATTCTCAAAATTGCAGCACACTCTAAGAGCATCTGTGCAGGGGCAGACTCCTCCTCTCACTTTCTTAGATCTCTGACAGTGTTTTTCAGAGTACATTTGCAGCTGAGGAGATTTAAAATAACAGATTTTGTTTTAACTATAAATGTAGAAGACCGACTGCATTATATAAAACCCTGTAAAACTTCTATAAAAGCTTATTACTGATGCCTGTGTAAACTCAAGTTTCAGTATAACTGACTGATTTTTCTCTGGGGTCCCAATAGTTGTCAAGGAAATAACTGCAGTTTTACATACTTTCCTATATATATTTCTGTCAAGCATCATCAGGAAACTTCAATTCTACTGTTCTAGAGAATTGCAGTAAAATATTAGACCTAGTTGTCTATAAACCTTGGTCAGTGTCACCCCACTGTGTTTTTCACTATTTCTTTCTATTGTTTCTTGTGTCTAAGTTTCAAGTTTCTGAAGATCTAGGTTGGCACTCTTTTCAAAACAACAGTTGGATCAACTTTTTTTTTTTTTTCCCCCCCTATTTAGGACAAAATGAGCACGAGCAAAGTGTTTATTCTGGTGGTGATAAAAGTCCTTTTCATTATGTTTATGATGAAATTAATCCCTTTTGCTGTGCCAGTGTCAAGGTCTAGCTCAGGCCAGGACAAGTTTGCTGTTTGATGTCCCAGAATCTTGAGAATTCATTCTGGATTTCCTGAACTTTGTTTTGCCCCACCTGAAACCTTCGTTTCATCAGTCAGAAGTGCATCATATTTATCCCAGGTTTACTGTTATACCAGCATAAAAAGTTTTGCTCTCCTTTGTCTCACAGTCATTGAGCAACTGTGTGTTTTTTTTCAAGCCAGCCTTTGTTCAAATCCAAAGTTTCTCATAACACGTCAAGCTGCAGTATTGTGATGTGAGTCTGATGGATCAATGACCCAGTTCACTTGATACTAAAAGATCCTAATGTGGCAGGATATTGCTGCCTGGAATCTCTGATTCTAGGTCCTGTATTTCTTTTTGCATGGTAAGTGGAGAGGGATTTGAGAAGGAGAAGGAAAGGATTTCAAGTCCAGAGCTTGTAGCTCACATTTTTACAAGTACTCTTCATGTCTCTGCTTGATAACTTGGAATGAGTATGGGTTTAGACTACTAAGGATGGTACTGGAGAGTTATTAGAAGTGTTTTCTACTGTATCTGCATATTTGATCTGACATTTTATTGGGCAGAATTAATGTTACAGATTTTGAGCTTTGCTGCGTTTTATCAGATCACTTTTTTAAAGAAAAAGATAATTTGTGGAATGTGCTGCCCCCGTGTGGTATTAGATGTATGTGTCTCCTTTTAGGTTAATGCTGTACATTCTAAGTAGCTTTTTCTTGGATTGCTTGGCCTGTGAAGTTAAAACAAAAATCAGTTCTTGAGAATGCAACAGAAGCAGCCCTTCTCTTGATAGCTTTTGAACTTTGCTTTACACTCTTGGAAAGAATTAGGAAGTGGAAGTCTGTGTCTGTAAACAGAAAATAACTAAGTGTACTTGTTTGGTTTGAAACGAATCTGGGGTTATGTTGATTTCTTTATTTGTTATATGACTTAGTGGCTTCGTTATTTAATACTGGTTAAACAAGAGATTATTCTGAGGGTTTGAGAGTGTTCCATGCAGACTACATACAGAAATTGATAGTTTTAATTTTTAAAAGAATAAATAGCTAAAAATTATTTTGCTATATGTAGTAGAACAATCTGCTTGCAATTTAGGAAAGCGGAAAGAAAATACTGGTGCAAGCATGGATATTTTTTCAGAACAACACTGCTTTGCTTTCCCCAATAGGAATGTAAAAAGCTTCATGGAGAGTTTGTTGGCCGAGCCTGTGGTCATCATGGCCCTTATGTTCCAGATGTCCTCTTCTGGTCTGTCATCTTATTCTTTTCTACAGTAACACTGTCATCCACGCTGAAGCAATTCAAAACTAGTCGATACTTCCCAACAAAGGTGTGTGACATTTTTTGAATTCAGAAGTTGTTATTAGTCATGTGTAAGTATGAATTCCATCTGCATTAAAAATTCAGGTAACTGGTAGCAAAATGGGTGCTGGATCATTCTTAGAAAATTATATCAGAATAAGCATGGTTTTAGCAGTTAGCACAAAATGACTTGAAACTGAAGAAAAGTAAATCCTAAATCACACATGAATGTTTTAGTTAAAATTGTCCTTTCTCTCGATAATCATAGGTGCGATCTGTTGTCAGCGATTTTGCTGTCTTTCTCACTATTTTGTCCATGGTTTTAATTGACTATGCCATTGGGATTCCATCACCAAAGCTTCAGGTTCCAAATGCTTTTAAGGTAATTTGTTAATAAATTGCACTGCCTTATTATTTTGACAAAGTAGCGTCCTATAGTGGATTTATTACGTTTTGTTTTGTCATCGGGGAGTAATGGTACTATTCTGAATTTTTTATGTTTATCAAGTACGATGCAACCTCTCTGATTAGTAGCCCATGTAAATGAGCCTCTACCATCAGGCCCCATCCTGCTTCCTAATGTCTTTTGTGTGAGGACCAACACGGCTCAAGTTACACAAATTCTAGACTAGTGTAGTGTTCTGGGGCTCCTTCCAAATTCTGGGCTCGATGTATCAAATATGACCAATCTCTAATATCCCAGATGATTTTATTATATGAAGTTTCTCTTTTTGGTATTGCAGGAAGTTTAGCATTTTTCTGTGCTCTTACATAAATTGATTTTTAAAGGAAATTGTATCCTTGTAAAGTTTTTGTGTGCATTCTTGTGAAGGTGAAATGTAAATAATCCTTAGAGTTCTGACTGGCCGTGCATGACTCTGTTTTTATAGCCCACCAGAGATGATCGTGGCTGGTTTATTACTCCTGTGGGGCCTAATCCTTGGTGGACAGTGATAGCTGCTGTAATTCCAGCTCTGCTTTGTACTATCCTTATCTTTATGGACCAGCAGATCACAGCTGTCATTATCAACAGAAAAGAACACAAACTAAAGGTATTTAATCAAATAGTTATATTTTCACTGTAATTTTCTGCTTCCAGGTTATATACTGTACCTTCATCTAGTTGACTATGCTAATTTATTATATGTTATATAGGACCGCTTTAAATTGTTATGCTTTTTCTGTTGGTCTGTGTAGTACATATGCCCTGTGTCAGTGATTTGCTGCCTTACAGAAGTCTTTCTGAATGTAATTTGGAACAGAGTTCCTGAATCAAGAAAGTGCTATCCTTTATGCTTTAGTTAGAAGTATGATACCCATTCACCTAAAGAAAAAAGATTTGAAGTTAATAATTTCCTTAAGTACCATACTATTAATTGCTTTTTCAGATATTGACAGTGTTGTTCTACTGGATTGGATTTTGAAGAACTATTCAGGGGTTATTTTGTAATATAATTGTAATATAAGATTATTTGTTTTCCTCTTTATTCTTCTCTGTGGTTCTACCTGTTCTTTTTTTTTTTTTTTTCCTTCCCCTATTGCCCTTCCCATTTCAAAGAAGGGAGAAGAATAAAAGCTTTAGAGGCACAATGGTTTCTTAAAACGACATAGGACAACTTCCTGCTCTGTTCTCTAACACTTTAGCTGCCTACAGATGGAGAGAGAAAAAGGGACATCACCCCTCTGAAAAACTGTTGGGTAAAATCTAGCAGCAGGTTTCTGTACATGTATATGCAGTGAGCTTAGGCTTTTTTTTGACATACTTTTAATAAGCAGTAATCCAATCCCAAGTTGCTTTAGCAAATGCATTTGCAACCTTCACTTTGCACTGCCTCTTCTTGGATGATTGTGACATTTGATATGTTCTTTTTTTGCCCTCTTTGTCAGCCTGGCTCTTCATGTCAATCCATAGCATTGCATGTGGTTAACTTGACAGATGCAGGAATTTGCTGCCAAGCTTTGGAATGTGTTTTTTCAGCACTGGCATCTGGGAGTCAGATGGTCCTCCTGGCTGCCCCCTTGTCTTGCTGCATTTTAGTTTTGCTGGGGTCTGGTGTAGCATCACCTGTTGCTATGCTTCCTTTTCTTCCCATATGTCAGGTTCTTCAGATCATGTATGAATGTGAGGAACTGCTCTCAGATTCTGTATGCATTAGCAGATACATTCCTCATAAATGTGTCAGAAGGTAAAAAAAGGTGTCTCTGTTAAGATCTAGGATTAAACTCTTTCTTTGAGTGCATTGTGCGTGTAACTAATATCTGTATTTGACACAACTCTGGGTTTGTGAAGATGTGTCTTGGAGATAAGACTTAAGCACTTTTGGTGAATGAGGGAAGGATGCTAGAGTTGGTGCTTCTCATTTTCTTATATGAATTCCCCTTTTTAAATAATGTAAGCAAATAAGATGGCATTTTCATTTTGATATGTGGCTTACATTTTCATAAACCCAGACACTTCCCATTTTAGAAGTAAAACTTGTCTTCAGAAAGAAATAGTTTGTTTGCTTCCAGCTCATTTTCCTCTCTTTTTTTATACTTCCCATAGCAAATTTTGAATAGTGCACATTTCAGCTTTTGGCAGTCTCTCCAGCAAACCCTTCCAAGTTTAGTTTAGTTACTTTTTTATGTCAAAAGGCATTTACATGGGTTTACAGGCAAAATTATGGTTCAACATATTCACATTGTTTGCATGAACATCACTGTTTCATCAGACCATGACACTGGATTTGTTGCTATATTGCAACATTTTGTAGAGGTAACTACTTGACTTTAAAAAGAAATATAGTTTGAGCTCCTGCTGGCAGCTGCATGGTGGTCCCAGATATGTATTGAAATTAAAAAGAAATATCCCTCTCAGCTATGGTGACAGATATCTGTACAACCAAGCTTGATACAGGTCACTAGTAATTTTCAAGCAGAGGTTTTATTTTCAGATTTGTAAATGTATTTAAGATTTGACTAAAGCATTTTATCCATTACCACAAAAGCAAAGCAACATCTTCCTGTTGGTAAATTCAGAGAATATTTAACTCATACAGAGATCATCCAAAACCAGAGGTTTTGTATTGACTTCTCATATGAATGTTTATGTTACTACTTCTAAGTATTGAGAAAGGAAACCAGTAAACCAGTAGCTGATGATTAATATTATTTTATATTTTAATTTAATGTGTAGCCTAATTATAGTTTAATTTCTCTTAATTCAGAGCAATCTGGTTTTAGGTAAGATGAAAGTACATTAGTGAAAACTTATTACTGTGGCATGCTTACCATCTCTAAAAACCTGAAAAGGATCAATATGGTTTTGTGGCCCTTTGCAGCATAAACTGACTTTGCAGACGTAAACTTTGGAATTTTTGTGTAGGAAAGAATCAAAGCATGTATTTTTCTGCCTCCTGTGTAAGGATTCATAGAGGGTCTATTAAGATTAGCATGGTGGAATGTTGGCAGTGCAGCTGGATGTTCTGCTTACCGTTATCCACAGAAAAAAGTTAGTGAAAACATGGATGTGTGTGTGTTTCCCATTGACTTACAGGCACCTCTGACATAAGCAGGAGGGGTATTTGGTGCCCATTGCAAAGTGGATTTATGAGATGTGCACTTAGCTCCTAACTGGAATGTGTCTAATAACATTAAGCATTTCTTGTGAACTAGGAAGAATTTGCCTTAGATAACCTGTTTGCCATCACTGCTGACCCAACATGGATAACACATAGAAGGAAGCTATTTTTTCCTACAAGTTACACATTTTTAATAGTCTCTAGCTGTTCATTTGGAATGCCTGCCAGGAGTATTCTCCTTAATTCAGCTGTCATTTTATATCTTCTTGCTGTCATTACTTTTTTTTTTAACAGAAAGGATGTGGATACCATCTCGACCTACTCATGGTGGCAGTCATGCTGGGAGTGTGCTCTATTATGGGATTGCCATGGTTTGTTGCAGCTACTGTCCTGTCTATTTCCCACGTGAACAGCTTAAAACTGGAATCAGAGTGCTCCGCTCCAGGGGAGCAGCCAAAATTTCTTGGAATTCGGGAGCAAAGAGTCACAGGGCTCATGATTTTTATCCTTATGGGCTCATCTGTCTTTTTGACAAGTATCCTAAAGGTAATTCGTGAAGTAAGGAAAAAGCTAAAGCACTGTTATTACTGTATTATTTAAGGAGTGCCCTTTCCAGGCACATTACTAGCTAGCACAATGATAATCTAAAGTAGAGTTCTAATTTTGTCTAATGAAATGACTAGGGACATGTAACATTTTTAAGGCAAAAACCTTGTAATGAAAACCTGGCCTGACTGAAGTAAAAGGGAATTCTGCCATTGACCTGCACTATATGAAGATTCAACCTTTGCCTATACTTTGGGCCCATGGCAAATTACCATGAAACAGACTTGCTAACTTACACGGACAGATAAATTCATTTAGAAAATTTAAAAACATTTTGTAGTTTACGGATATTTTTAAAATATTTTCAGTTGCAGGAGAAGTTCTGTGGTTCATTTCTTGGAAGTGAACATGAAAATTCTCTCCTGCTGCCTGCATACTCAACACAGCTAATCAATGCCTTGAAACTGGGTGTCTAGATATATGCATTTATAATAGCGTCTATATATTGGGTGTTTTTAAGAATTATCTGGCCTCTGTGAAATCAGTGGGAGTTTTGCCATTGGCTTCAGTAAGAGCAAAGTTTAGACTTGCATGCTGTCAGAGGGAAGGCAATAGAGCCCTTAGAACTTGTAATTCCTTATAGTATTTCATTAAGTAGGTCATAAAACCTGCACTTTGAAAACACACAGAACGTGTTTTGTGTATTTAGTATGGAAAATGGATACTTACCTGTGGAATTATTCCTTTACATACACACTGTATAATGAGAAGCTTAACATTTAAAATAGTCTTTTCCAAAATCATTCCATGAAAGTAATTCACCCATTTTTACATGTTTACAGCACACATTTCTTTTAGCAATATGAAATATTTTGTATTAAACATTTTTCTGAAGTTAGTAGCTTTACTATTCAGATGCTCTCCTGAGCAGTCTTTTAAATAAAGAATTTAAGTATGTATCAAACACTTTCTTTTTTTTGTGTAGTTCTGTTAATTTTATTAATAGTCAATAAAGTATTTGTAGTAAGTGGCTCTGAGGAGAAAAAAAAGCTGTAGAGACAGATTCTTTTTTTGCTTAATACTCTGAGAAACAGTATTAATTTGTAGTTGAGTGACTCTGAATTTACAACTTGTCTGATTAATGCAGGCATATGGCACTTTGAATTTCAACTGTTTAGAATGTTTTGCTAAAAGCATTTAAAATTGTTAAATGGTATTTAATATGCTCTTCCCTCTCTCTGCTTATTTGTGCAGTTTATTCCTATGCCAGTACTTTATGGAGTATTTCTTTACATGGGTGCTTCGTCTCTAAAGGGAATTCAGGTAAAATGGATTTATGAAGATTATGCCTTCTATAAAATGTGTATCTATTCTTATTATATTATCTTTTGTGTATAATCTTAAACAAATGTTGCCAAAAGAATGTTGCCAACCTTAAATTCTTGAAAGTGATTCCCTTAAAAAGGAAAATGGAGTCTCTCTAAATAGAGTATTCCCTTTAGGTAATGTGCTCCAATTTTTTACTTGTTAGGTGCTGATTTTTCTGTTCTCCCTTGTTGTCAAGGGAATTCTGGCTGAGCCTGAAAATGGAGTAACAAGTATCTACAGCTTTTCCCTCTCCCTTGCTTCCCTGTTCACTTGATTGCCTGATACCTTTTCAGCTTCCAAGTTTACACCTTCGTAGTGGTACACAAAATCTTGAACTTTGCCTATATGAGGCTTTTGACTAACTTGCCCTAAAACTAACATAGGTGAGATTTTGAAGGTATTTCCTGTGCAAATAAATACCCTAGGTAGGGAAGTAGAACTGTTGCAAATCCTTTGCCACTTAATTTCTGGCCTCGAGGATGAAGGGTAAGTCTAGTGGAAGGGCAGCATTCCTGCAGTGGCCTTAAGGAGGTGCCTGTGGTGGAAGCCAGGCACTCCAGCATTCAGCTCAGGGTTGGTTGTGGTATCCTATGTACCACTTCTCCTGGATGACTGGAGCATTAAATGGCATAATGTCAAATCTTTCAGCCCATCTGACAAAAACACTCAAATATTTAAGTGTGCCTTTGTTTGTTATCAAAAGTTGCGATATTGATACACCTTCCAAGACAATTGAGAAAGAACAAGCACATGACAAAATTAGGAATTATACTGTACAAAAGGTTGTCAAATACAAAGAGCAAAGAAAATGCCTAATTGTTTATTTCATTATAAAGTTTTGGTTATGAGTTAAAAATGTCGGTTTTTTAACCTTTCTGTTATTTATAGGCAAAGCTGACAACATCTCTTCCCTTTTGGCTAGTGTTTTCTGTTCAAAGATTATTCTTCTAAAACTTTCCTTAGTTCTTATCATTTGGGTTGATATTCTAAGAAGTGTAGCTTGGCTTTAGATAACTTCAACTTAATATTGTTCAGCTGTTTCTGAGAATAAGTGTATGAGACTCAAAGTGCACTAGTGAGGAATGTTTTTAAGGCATGATAAAATCTGGCTATCTTTACTTGGAAAAGTGATAGCAACCCCCTCCACTTCTCCCTCCCCCAAGCTGGGACAAGGAATTGAGATTTGAAAAGTTGGCTTTTGTGGGAGGATGTGCTTTTTGCTGCTTCAGTGAAAAAGAAATCTGCTCAAATCTGGCCAAATTATAAGCCTTTAAAAAACATGCAGCTTGCACATGCTCAGTAAAAATTCCTGAAACTTGAATTTCTTGAAGACTCTGTGAATATAGCATGGTTCGTCCATCCAGGGAGAAATGATGCATCACCATCATCATTCTGCCCTGGCAGCTGACAAAGTCTTGGGTCAGTATGGAGCCAGACAGGTCTGAAAAAGAAGAACCTCTCATGTACATCACTAATGGCATGAGAGTTGGCTTTCTGGCTTTCCCTTCTTTTTGTTTTGTTTTTTTTTTTTTCCTTTGTTCCTAGTTTTGTGAAGAAAGTACAGTACAATAGGGGAATAAAACAGCCTCAGATGGTGTCTGGTGAAGCAAACTAGGGAAGAAAAAGATTTCATTCACAGGAGATAAAAGGCTGAAAAGATCCTTCCATGATCAGCATTTCATGTGCTAAAGGAAGCAGAGTTCAATTGTTGAAAAACAAATGTTTAGAATGTATTAGAAAGGCAGTGTAATAGTGTGTATGCCCAACAGCATCAACCACCTTCCAGTCAGTGATTCACCCCTACTTTGAAGTCTGGCCTTGCCTAACTTTAAGAGTTCTTGACTTGAAATCTTAGCAATACTGTTTTAAAGTAATTTTTCTCTTTGTGTCTAACAAACTATGCAGTTATGATCAGGATGTTTCCTGGAGTATGACTGTACAGAATGTAAATCAGTGGAATCCAATATCTCAGCACAGCTGCAATAGAAATATCTAGGGAAACAAATGTGTATCAAAACTGAAAGGAACTTCAGAAGTATGACTAACCACATAATTAAACTTTACATAAATAATATGATTCTCATTCTTACTCTGGTGGCTCAGCTGGAGAGAGGATGAGTCCTTTACCACTGCTGGACTAGTACAGATTTCATTGCTCATGATTGTACCTGAGGTAGTCTGTTCCTGTGCTCCTGAACTTCTGCAGTTTTTGTCTTTAGAAAAGAAGCCAGACTCTTGGGATATTCAGAGTCTCTTAGGCACTGTGTGAATGTCAGCACAGATGATCCTACAGCTCATTTTGATGCAAACTTTTAAAAATTTCTCTTTTAGCTTTTTGACAGGATAAAGTTATTCTGGATGCCTGCAAAACATCAGCCAGATTTTATTTATCTGAGGCATGTTCCTCTAAGAAAGGTCCATCTCTTCACTGTAATTCAGCTGAGTTGTCTTGTGCTTCTGTGGATTATAAAGGTTTCAAGAGCTGCTATTGTCTTTCCTATGATGGTATGAAATATTTTTTTATTTCCTCTAAAAACCCAATCTCTTGTTACTTGTAGATAATTGTTTCTCAACAAAAAAATTGTGGGCAGGTAATGATAATATTGCTTGAATTCAGGACAATTCATACTGTATTAAGTAGAGAAGGATTCTTTATACAACCTCTAGTTTAGTCTAGGTTGCACTCTGTTTATATGTGTGGATAGCCCAACTGCGTATTCTCTTAGGAAAAATTATTTTCCTAAAAAGAAAAAAAAAAATTTAAAAAAAAATTGTTTGGTGTTTTTATTTAAGGAGTAGTACTTAATAATTTTACAGAACAAACATTTGCATTAAGGAAGATTGTTCATTGCACTCAGGAACTTTTGAATATGTGATTCTATGAGCCTGTTTGTCAGTTTTCTTTGCTTAATTTCCTTATTCTTTGGATTAATATCTTTACAGGTCCTAGCTTTGGTATTTGTCCGGAAACTCATGGATTTCTTTTTTACTAAGCGGGAGCTCAGTTGGTTGGATGATTTGATGCCCGAGAGCAAGAAAAAGAAATTGGAAGATGCTGAGAAAGAGGTGAGTCACAGTTTTGGGGTTTTTTTTGGTGTACAGCACTTTTATTAATTTCTCCTTCAGACATCTAGAGAAAACTCTGTAATTAAGGCATATTCCGTGCAACAGGCAGACTTGTTAACAATATCCAAAGTGTAATGCCATGTTTTGTGTAAGTCCTTCTAAGGTTATGAATCTAATAGACTTAGGTGGGGATCTGTTAAATCTATAGGTAATCTATATATTATATATAGAAATCTATATATAATCTAGAAATAGATTAGGATCTATTAAATGTAGATTCTTAGCTTCCATGCTGTCATATAACATGGCATCTACAGTGCTCCTGGGGTTTGCTTCCGAGGCCCACTCAGGTGATGCGCAGGGATGAACCTGTACCTATAGGAAAGCCTTCAGATGCCTGTGGCAATTCAATTTTGCATTGGGACAGGTCTTGTCCCTGTTGGAGATCCTGAAATGCTGGGGTTTGAACCCTGATCCCCGAATTAAGGTTGACATATGGGTGACTCCCACAGCCCTTCATAAAGAGGTGGTGAGTTTGCCTTATAGCTTCCCCCCAGGGTGCGGCCGGCCCCGCAGGGAGAGGCATAAGGGAAAAAAGACCCCG